GATGGTTTGGGGCTGATTGGGGCTGATTGGGGTTTAGGGTTTAGGATTTAGGCTTGCGGCTACCCCCCACAAGTATGTCAGAGTCTCCGAGGCCAACGGAGGAGCACTGCTGGGTTTTGGCGGAGTCATGGCATCCACGTAAGCAGAGCCACGCTTGCGCTCTGGGGTAGAAGGCACCGACGACGAGGCTGCCGGCTGGATCGGCTTGCTCTCTTTCCAGGAACAATTTTTGCGGCCGGCTTTGCACCACATGTAGGCCTGCCCTTCATGAAAACGGCACTTCATCCAACCAATACCAAATCCACAGCGAGGGCAGACATCGTAAGGGAGCTGTTCCTTGCGGATCTGGACCTGGTCATAAACCGACTTGAATCCCTCAGGCAAGCAGCCATCTTGAGCTGGTGCTTCCTGTCAGCGGTTTGAAGCTTGCCGAGCTCCCGGTGGGCAAGCTTTTCCTGTTCCTGGTTCCTCTTCCAGGCTGTGATGCCCTCCATTTCATTGGATCCATCATGCGCGATCGCCCTGAAGATGAAGGCACGAGCTGCTGGGGCGAATCGGCCGGAAGCCGTGCTCAGAACACCGCACGTGTGACTGCCACTTCCACTTATGCATCCACGACACTCTCCACACTTGAGGATGAGGGGCGCGCAGGTACGGCACTGACAGTTAAGCCACTTGAGGCGACCAGCAGCTTTGGAAATTTCGTCTTCGCCACGCCGAAGTGACTCTTCGATCTTCTCCAGCACCAAATCTTTCGCAGCCACCAGCTTCGCGAACAATGCCGCATTCCCTCCTGGCTTGTCAGGATGCGCTCCCAGACTCAGGCACCTGATCTACCGCAGTGGGGTCTGCCGGGAGCTCGGGAAATCCCAAGACTTCAAGAGCCTCCTGCAGCCCAGCCAAACCGGACGCATCCTGGGCTTTCGTCGGCATAATTGAGTCAGGAGCTACTGCCACCAGAGCTCGAAGAAAGGCTGCCCTAAGCAAACGAATAAAGAATCACAAATACTTCAACATGACATGTAATGTTGACTTTGCCACATACCAGCACACTAAAAACTCAGTCCCATGCTCATGGACCAAAGCTGGCAGACACGGCTTGCAGAGTGCACTGTTCCCTTGCTGGACTGCCACAACACTATACAGCAACTTCATGAACCATGGGCAAGCGACCGCACGCGTTCAAAACCCGTGCCCCGAGCAATCAACTCAAGGTTTCGGATTTAGAGAAGTTCTGTGCATGGGGAAAAGCTTCACCCAGTAGTCGTGAGACATCTGCGCGTGTCCCGTTTGAAAGGCTTCACGTGTAGGCGCTTGCTCAGGGTGCTGTATGTGCTATCTCAAAGGCTACAAATCTCATGTCGTGCACTCGACATACACACGCCATCGGCAACAGAATGGGAGCTGCAACCGCGATGAGCGTCACGGTTGCAGCCGAGGCCAGTGTGGGCGTCACTCCACCATTTTGGGGCGTTTCAAGGGGTTTTGGGGGGGGTTTGCGATGTGAGGTTTGGGACTCAAGGTAGTACCTCGCCAACATGCACATCCACAAACCCATCTGAAGTACAGGAACACGTCAACCCAACCCTATCTCTGCTGAGACTAAACCCTAAACCGATTCCACCTCACAGTCGGCCACGGCTTTCTGGGCTTCGGCGTGCGACAGCACCTGACAAAGAGCTGCCTAGGGCTTTGGGGCCTCAGCTGAGGCTTGAGGGCTTGGGGTTTAGGGTTGCGGGTTTAGGGATTTGGGGGTTTGGGGTCTTGGGTGTTGGGTTTTTGTGTTTTGCCGTTTCGGGGAGGGTGACTTTAAAGGGCATTGCGAGTTTCAAGGGATGGCCCAGGGTTTGGACCCCTAACCTTAAGCTAGGCGCGCCCCCGCTCTCTGAACGGTGCACTGCATCCATCCAAATCCTCACCGAAACTTAAAGACAATGTTTCCAAGCTGCACGCGGTGTAGCGCTGCCGTTGCATCCTTTTCGAAACTCCCTTCCTCAAACTAACCCCAAAAACACACCCTTTAAGCAGAACCCCTCACATGCCTCCATGCCCTTCAGGAAGGGCAGCTCCGCTTCAGAGGCCTGCGGTATCAGGAGGGGGGGCGGGGGTGTTTGTGGGGGCTTGAGTTCTTAGAGCCTGGCAGACTTGCCAGCTTTCGTTGCGGGAGGATCTTGAGCACAGGGCTCGGGACATGGCTTGGGAGGGATGAGGGGTCAGGGTGTAAACCCGAAACCCCCTACAGGAGAACCCCCAAAACGAAGTACACCCCAACCCCAAACTCCGAGCACTTTCCAACAACCCTCAGACCTAAGCCCTAAACTGTCAAACCGCCGAGCCTAAACGCCGGCTGCCTTGTCTCAAGGTCGCAATGGCCCCAAACCGTCCCGAAGCCCAAGAATCCTAACTCCCTAAACCCTAAGGCGCATCTCCGAGGAGCTTCTTCGAGACTGTCCGCAAGGCTGCATATATAAACCCCGAACCCCCAAACCCCAAACCCCCGAACCCCCAAACCCCCGAACCCCCTAAACCCCTAAACCCTAAACCCCAAAACCCTAAACCCCAAAACCCTAAACCCCAAACCCCCAACCCCTAAACCCTAAACCCTAAACCCCCAAACCCCAAAGCCAAGGGGGGGCGGGGAGGGGGGAGTTGCCAAGAGAGGCGCCTGGCGAAGGGCTGCCTCGCAGTGGTCGGCCTCACGGCTTCGGGGGCGTTGCTGTCATGGCACCTAAACATGGGCTTGGGGTTTAGGGTTTAGGGTTTAGGGTTGAATTAGAGTTTAGGGTTTGGGGTTGAGGGTTTAGGGTTTAGGTTTTAGGGTTTAGTGTTTAGGGTTTAGGGTGTCACGGCCAGCCTGCTATTTGGGGGTCTGTACTCGGGCTCCCTAAATTTTGTAAAACCCCACGTGTCAAGCAAGGAGTTTGGGGGTGCAAGCCCAACCTCCCAGACTCCAAGCATAAAACCCCCGAAGCCCACAACCCAAAACCACCTCCCCAAAGACCCCTCTTGCCTTCTCCAAACTCTTGGCCACCAGCTCCGACGCCTTTATCTGCTCCTTCCTGGCCAATCGGAGCTTGGATAGACGGAAACCCCCCACAAAACGCCAAGAGAGCCCTAAACCCTAAACTTTTCAGACCCTTAAACCCTAGAACTTCCAAAGTCCTGAAGAGCCCAGAACAAGCCCTAAGTCCCTGATCCGAACCCCAGACTTGTCGGTGGGGTTTCTTGGGGGGTCTTAGGGGTTCTTGGGGGTTCTTGGGGGTTCTTGGGGGCTCTTGCGGTTCTTGGAGATTCTTGCGGTTCTTTTGGAAGCTTAAAGGGGTTTTGGGGCTCTAAAGGTTCAGAGGGTTGCGCTCCAGTTAGAAGCCGTCCGCATTCCAGAATCCCGAAGATCTCTCCGAAAGGCAGAGTCACTGCGTTCGTGCCTTTAGTGATAAGAGAGTAAATGAATAGAGGGCGCAATGAACAGAGAACTAGCGCAGACCGCTATTCACGTTGAGATATACCAAGCCACAACAAGCTGAGGAAGCTGAGAAATACCAAGCCACAACAGGCTGAGGAAGCTGAGATTTACCAAGCCACAGCAAGCTGAGGAAGCGGGGCTTCAGGACCTTGAGGGCCCATCTAGGGACCGCCTTTGCGGCGTCCATGGGGTGCTGGGGGGAGGGGGGGGCTGTTGAGGTGTAAGTTTGAGGGGGTTTTTGGTCTAGGATCTCGGCTTCGCCGGTTCAGCGCCCCGAAGCAGGAACTGAGTGCGCCCGAAAACGCGCCGCGGCTGCTGCTCAGCTGCGGCCGTGATGACCTTCTCGATCTTCTTCTCGGCCTTCGGTGTCTGTCAACGTTTGTAAGGTCTTCGGGACGTGGGTCTAGGGCCTAGGGCTTGTGGGATGCAGTTTAGGCTTTGAGGGTTTCGGGTGTTTTTTGCGGGGGGGAGGGGGCTGAAACAAGAAGGCCTCATTCACATCGGCACCATTGCTGAAATCCTGCAGCCTTGGCCCACGAGCCCTCCACCCCAAACTCCCGCACCAAGGCTCGCGGTCCCAAAGCCCAACAGACTCCAGAGAGCTCTGCATATCCACCTGCCTCTTTTAGGGGGGCGCTTAGGGCATCTTAGGGCATCCCTCCGTGAGCCCCTCTTGCGCCTTCTTGATTCGCAGCTGCATGGCAGCAAGCTCCTCCTGGAGGAAGCCCTGCGCGCCTCGCGAAACAAGGGGCACCTTGCGGGGCTTGGGGCTTAGGGTTCAGAGGGTTCAGAGGGCTGGGATGGATTTGGGGCTGAGGGGTTTGGGGTGCTCAGGCCTGCAGGCAAGCTCCGGGGGCATAGGAGTCAGAGGGCATAGGGTTCAGGGCTTATACAGGTTGAGGGGGGCGAGGTTGAAACTTGGTGCCAAAGGCACTCTTCAGCTTGATCTCGACCAAGTGCAAGGTGGTCGAGAGCTTCGTCTGCGCTGAGGCGTTCGCCTGAAGCCAGGCACTCGGATTTGGGAGGCATGTGAGTTGAGATTTGATGAGCCTGTGACCTTGCTTCCTTCCTTGCTTTCTTCCCCCCTTCCTGCCTGCCTGTAGCTGGAAAAGCATAACCCAGAACATCCCAAAGGTACAGGGCCATGAAGACCTTACCGACAGCGATTCCGGCGATTCCATCCCGACCATATCGTAGATGACACATCGTGTGGGGGCAGAGATAAATTGAATACTGGAACGCATTAGCAAACCCCCCTTATACTAACAATCCTTAATCGGGATTGTAGTACCCCCTCTGATAATCCCGATTAACAAACCCTCCTGTATGGTGTGGATGCATGTCGAAGCTGTCCCTCGGGCCATTTTCTTTCGAGCGATGCGCATCTTAGGAGATGGAGGCTTCCGAACTTAGGATTGGGGTCCCTATTATAAAGGAATCCTACTCCTTGGAGGTCTATATTAAGGGTCCCGTATCTTCGTAAACTCCCAGATCTCCTGGCAAAAGAAGAGGGGGGAGGAATCCCCGGGAACAAGGATCATAGGGAGCTGAAATCCATATACAGGGTCACCGGCACCATCACAGTGCCGATCCCGGCCACCAACATGTCGAGCCATGGCCTGCTGCCTACAATCTTCATGTGCAAAACTGCAGGGAAGATGAAGGCCAAGGGAATGCAACAGAAGCTACCGATGATCGACACAACGATGTTCAGCTCGTCAGCAGCGCTGTATGCAATCAGTGCAAGCAGCAAAGTCAAGGCCGTTCGGAATCCGTTCTTAAGCCATTTGCGTGTCTCGGTGGCCGGCATGTGACCAAAGAGGGGGCCTTCGCAAATGCTGAAGCAGGGCGAGATCGCGATTGGGAAAGTGCAGACAATAGCAAGGATGTAGAGGATCTTGATGCTGTCCGCACTTGACCCCTGCAACTCGTTGAGTACGATGGTTTGCATGTTGGGCCCCCAAGAGAAATAGCCAAGGAGGCCGAAGCCCGTCAAGAGCACGGTGAAGAAAACCATCATGCCAGTCATCAGGGCAGGGAACAAGTCTGGTCGGGCCATGCTCTCACGGATCGGGATCACGAGAGCGATGCCTTCGAACGCGAAGACGGCGGTGCCTGCAAAGATCATACCACGTCCTGGAGACGTGAAGGGCACCACGCCCTCTGCTGTCCCGAGGTTCAGGATGCGCTGGACGGCCACCCAACTAACAAAGCCAATCCCCACCAAAATGATGACGTCTCCGATGATGTTCGTGATCTTCATCTTACCAATACGTCGGATCCACCCAAGGGGGATGAAGATCAAAGTGACAATCAGAACGATGTGCGAAGGCGGTGGTGGCGGAAGCCCCTCTTGCTGGTACATCTGCACCACCAGCTGCACAATGAAGGCCACGTAGCACGTGCAGAAGCCGTACTGCGACAGCGCGATCTGGGCGGAGATCAGGAAGCCCAGCTTCCCCGTAACCATCTGGCCCATGGCGGGGTAGGACTTCCCGGTGGCCTCATGGCATGATCCGAGCAACAGGATGCCGGCCGTCGAGGCGAGGGCACTTACGAGCATGATGACCACAGCACCGGCCCATCCTGAGTTGCTCATCGACTGCGGGATGAACAAGACGCCCGTGGCGACCATGCACTTGAAGAAGCTGAAGGACGCCTTTAGTAGGGAGACCTTCTTCTGCTTCTTCAACTCAGGCAGGGCCTCCTGGCCGGCCAACAGGCGCTCCCTGATGATCTCGGGCGTCGTCTTCTCCATGAACATGCCGCCGCCATCGCAATCATCGTACACGTCCAAGCTGTCAACAAAAAAGACCAGATTCTGCATCCAAACATCGATTTCCTCTGCAAGCGCATTCATGTCGACATTCTTCGAAGATTCCGCGGTGCCCCCGAGCTCGGGCACCGAGCTCCCATCGCCTTGCGTCGCGACAAAGTGGCGCCGGAAACCGCCGATCTTCGCAATCTGGCTTGGCCTCAACTCATCGAAGTGGTCCTGCTCCTTGGCTGGGAAGGTGTTCGAGCGCTCCGTGAGCTTGCCACCCTTGAACTTGTCCAAATCCCGCTGGTAATCCTCGTAGGCCACATACCCTTCGCCTGTTCACAGAAGTACAAGCCCAGCACAAGCCCAGCAAGCGTTGCGGTTACAATCCAAGTATTACGGTGCCATTTCTAAGATAGCATGAGCCCGGCGTGATCAAGCAACACGGCAACCGACTAGAGTAGACACAAAAAAATGCCAATCGAGCGGGCACCGGAAGCAGGTTGTGACGAAGAGGCCATGGCTCAATTAATGAAATCTGTGAGCGTCGGGAGCATTAATGGAATGGGGGGGAGGGGGCGTTGGAGGCACTGCATAAGCCCTGTCATCTTCTTCTCTCAGTCTTCTGGCTGCAGAGTTCTATTTCTGGGGATTGAAGTTGAGCAACTGTGGAACGAGAGATGTCTTCCATTGAGCCGCTGCTTCAGCAAGACTGTTTGAACTGGGCTGAGGTCGTCGAGTTTTGGGTCGGGCGGCTTGCTTAATGTGCATGCCAAGGCCCACGCTTGGACTCTTCACACGGGAAAAATCTTGCTTCTAGTTATTGGCCTGCTGAGCGGCCCTAAGCGCATGCCTTCTCCATCTTCGCAACAGCTTCAGCAGAAGGCTGCTCCTGCACCAGTTTCGCTTTCAAGGCGCACGGCGGCTTGGAGGGTGTTTTGTCGGTTTGGGGTTTGGGGCGTTTACAGTAGGGCTTGGGGTTTGGGGCTTAGTTTTTGAGGTCTATGGGTTCAGGGTTTAAGGTTTGAGGCTCCTAAGCCCAAAGACGTGGAAAGGGTTCATCGAAAACGAATTGGTTGCGCACGTGACTTTTGCGAGGTACCCAACCCTCAACGCAAACCAGTGAAGAATCCGGAAACCCCTCTCCAACAAGCCCTCAAGCGTGCGTCGCGCCACCCCAGCCGCAAGCAGAGGCCCAGAGCATCGATTTCCCGAAACCCCGGAAGAACTTTGGGCTAAGCTCTTGGGGTTTGGGCTTCGGGTTGGGGCTTAGGGCTTAGGGCTTATGCGGTTCTAGAGGCTCCACAGCAAATCCCCCAGGTTCAGAGTTTGGCAAAGGTCCGGCGCAGCCGCGGCGGCAACTTTCTCCACCTGCCGTGGCAAAAAAAGGCCACCCAACCAAGAACCCAAAAACATCCTCTCAGGTTGTCAGGGGAGGGGGCTAGGGCGCCCTGTTTAGACCCCCAACTGTGCTATGTCCTAGGGACTGGGCATAATCCGGGCAACCCATTTTAGACCTTTTGTTGGCTATGGGCTTGTTGTGTGTTGGCTATGGATCTCCCCCCAAACCTAACCACTGGACCAGCCTGCCTTGAATGTCGCAGAATTCTCGTCTACGAACAAAGAAAATCTGGTTCTTTTTCCTCTTCTCATCTCATGGCACCAAAGTAGGCCTAGCCAACACGCGCATCCTGCGGCCTGGTTTCGAGGTCTGAAGTAGTAGGTTACAATTGTAATTGTAAGACAAACTGGCTTCCGGGCTACGGGGTGTAAAGTCACAGGCTCCAGGATGTTTGCTTAAATGCTCACATCGTGAAGGCCAGCGGCCAGCAGCTATAGCCACCTTAATTTTTCCTTGGTGTTGATAGTCAAGCCATGATAAGCCTAAGCGCTGGGGAATTTTTGCATCAAATGCCGCATCGGTTCTCAATGGCTGATCCACTTAAGGGGCACCTTCTCGTACTCTCCAAGGAACAGATATGGAAAGACAAGCATCTGTGTTATCTGGATATGTGTGGCAAAGAAGGACTCTGAAAAAGTAATCAGGTAATGCCTTCGTGGTCTTTTTGAGGCTGCCCCCTTTTTATGCGGGGGGACAGTTGGAACAGTCCTGAGTTGTGCTCGGCAAGTGAAGGTGACATTCCTCCAGACGGGCGGGTTCTTTGCGCAGCATGCGCCAGAGCTGTTGGCCACACCGACTCGCTTGGGAAAAGGGATGCTGAGAGAGTGCACTAGTATCAGAGAACAGTTAACTTCTCAGAGAGCGGTAAAGAAAGGAGAGGGAGCGAGAGAGGAAGAGGGAGCTGAGGGAGCTGAGGGAGGGCGCAGAGAGCGGCAAGCAGGGACCTTCTCTCTCTTTACCAGGGGAAGCTGACCCAGATCGCAAGGCACGGAGCCTTTCACGTTCTGTTTCTCCCAAATGAAACAGAAAGGAAAGAAAGGAAAGAAAGGAAAGAAAGGAAAGAAAGGAAAGAAAGGAAAGAAAGGAAAGAAAGGAAAGAAAGGAAAGAAAGGAAAGAAAGGAAAGAAAGGAAAGAAAGGAAAGAAAGGAGAGAAAAGAGAGAAAGGAGAGAAAGGAGAGAAAGGAGAGAGGGAGAGAGGGAGAGAGAGAGGGAGCTGAGGGTGCTCTTCGCGAGAGGCGCGTGGGCGGGAGCGCTGTCGCGGAGGCGGAGCGGCTCCAGGCCGGGGAAGGTCTGCAATGGCAAGCCGGGAAAAGGGCCTTAAAATGCCTCTGGAGCCATTTCAGTCCCCTTCTGGTTCCCTGACCCTGAAGGGTCACCATTCCAGACCCGGGGATCCCAAAACCCTAGCCTTTTGAAGGTACAAGTGTGACCCTAAACACCCAAACCCTCGATACCAAGCCCTAACCCGCAAAAGGCCCGAGACCACGCACCCTAACCACCCCAAGTGAGTCACTTCGGGGGATGAGGGTGTTAAAAGATCTTCAAGCCCAGTTCAGGACCACCTCCTCCTCAGCCAGCTGGAGCTTTTCGAGCACCTCATGCCCATGGCAGGCTAGGGAGTCGGGGTTGGTGAACCCTAAACCAAATATCGGGGATCTTGCTGCTGCTGGGAAGACATCCTGACACTCTGAATTGAAATCTAGCTGAAGAAGGCAAAAAAGAAGGCCAGAGCTCTGCAGCCACCCCAGGAGACTTCCCGACTCGCACCCCAAGCGAGACCGAGGGAACGGAGGAATAAGAAGAAGCAACAAAAACCCATCTTGAACCCTAAACCCTAAACCGCGATCCCTCAACAACCTTCAGAAAGTGCTCCCTGTGCCGAGATCCCGAACGGGCCATTCGAAAGTTGAGGATTTTAAGCCTCTGAAGGTTTTGGGGTTAGGGTTTCGGGTGAGGGTGTTGATGCCAGGGTCCGAGAGTGGCAAACAAACCTAACCGGCCCTAACCCCAAACCGCTAACACCCCCCCCCCCCCCACAAAAAAAAAAAAAAACAATAAACAATAAACCCGAAGCCCCACCTCGGCCAAAATCTGCTTGACCCGCAGGCGCTCCTTTTTGATGAGCTCGGGTTTTTGTGGGTTTGGGGCCTTAGGCGGGCTGAGAGGGTAGGAAGGCCGCCCGGGGGGGCACAAAAGTATAAAGTCATAGGGAGCCTACGGTGCAGGGTGTGTTCACTTTACCCCATCTTACACCAGCTTCTGCCACCAGGGCTTCGGATGGCTTGGCCATGGGTCCTCGGCATCCTTGATGTTGGTGCGGAGTTTGGCGATGTCCTGTGGCCGAAGGCCCCACTGCTTTGGGGGCACTGAAGGCCGTAGGCCTTGAGGGGGTTGGAGGTTCACATAACCGTATCCTGATGAAGACTGTGAAGGGAAGGCACCCTAAACCCCTAAACCGAAAGCCGGCTACGACATCCTAGAGCCAAAAAAACCCAAGACTCTCGAACCCCCAAGAACCCTTACGCCGCCCAGAGACTCAAAATCCGAAGCCCGGCGCCAGTCGAAGCTCTGCCAGCGATCTGATGGCGTGGTGACGCTTGTGGCTCAGGGCTTGAGAAAGGTTCACCCTGACGGCGGAAAGGAGGGAGCTTTTGAGAGAAAGGTGGCTGAACCTTTCTTTCACTGCTAGAGCAAAGAACTGGGCCGTGATCCTGACACAGCCGGTTGCGACATTTGGAGTCAAAGTCGCTGCTGCTTGGGCGACAACGACCCCACCTTGTACCTTCTCTGCAATTTTTCGGGCGCAAGAGGACAAGGAGGCGCTGGGGAAGGCATGGGTCTTGTGTGCGGAGCCCTCTTCCAGTGGCCATGCTCCAATGTTCCAGGAGGAAGCAAGTGCTGTCCGCACCTCCGGGAAGTGCAAAAATGGAGCTACAGAGACGCGAGGGACGCCGAAGGTGCTCAACAACTTGCCGCAGCCTGGGGAGCCCAGGGACGAGGACGGTCGCCCAAAAACTGAGTGCTCTCTTTTGAGCTCGGAGTGCGGGGCTGGTCGGCTACCTCCTCGACTCCTCGAGAGGGTGCTGTTGCAGAGCCTCTGGGCTGCCATGGCGGCGGAATGACTGGAGGACCCGCTCAGGAAGCCGCATGTGATGGACACCAGTCTGCGCCAGTTCGAGGACAAGTTGATCCTTTTCCAGGACAAGCTCCCGGTCTCCAGCACAGGAAGTTCCTGCTCTGGCCGGCGGTGCTCAGATGGATGGGATCAGATGCTGACCGCAGGGGCACCTTTAATATTTAAGGGGGCAAGGCTCTCTGACACCGCCATGACCAGAGGGCTCAGGGTTTGGGGAATGGTACCGTGACATTCAAGTTTGGAGTTTAGCGTTTGGGTAGTCATGGCATTTCAACCTCCACATCCTGGTTGCGAAAAATGTGAGCCATAAACCGATGAACCCAAACCCCTATATAACCCCGAAACCTCGTCAGTTCCCCAGAAGGCCCCAAGAGGCGCGTCGGTCTCCTGCTGCATGTTGTTGACCTTTCGACTACTGGCGAAAAAACTGGCGGGGGGGTCTATGAAGAAGACAACGAGTGCTATGTTACTGCTCCGACAGGTGCTCCTACTAAATGATTGCTACAAGTGCTGACAGCAGTTAATAGTGTATGCCTAGAGTAGGATGCTAGTGAGAGAGTTTAATGTTCTTTGCGTCGATGGTGGCTGAGAATGATCTCGGGTAAAGACAAGAACAAGGGGTCAAAGCAAACATCAAGCAGAGCATTAAGTGTTCGGAAAGATGTGCCGCTATCGTGAACATGCGCACTTACATACTACTGCAGCAGCACAAACACGTGTCAAGCTTCGACGCGAAGCCCCTCAAACTGATGCACCACTGAGAACACGCCAAAACCCCAACTAAACTCCTAAACCCCTCAGCCCTGAAACCCAAAACCCCGGCCCAAACCCACGCCTCGGCCCCTCACCTCCACCCTCCTCCAAGGCCCCCGCCCTCGTCTGGAGGCGCCCAAGCTCGCCCCCTGAGCCGCCATGAGCTCCAGCCATGGCAAGCTTCTTGAGCTCCGCCTTTGGTCTTCGGGATTGTTTGCTACGTTTCTTGTGGCTGTCGCTACCCGTCTTCCTTCCGTTGAGTGCTATTCAACAATGGTTCAGGGCTTTGAACGTTCAGGGTCACAGGAGACTTGGGGATTTTGGGTTGTAGGCCTACAGGGCTTAACCTTTGGGCTCACAGGCTTTAGGGTTGAGGGTGTCGGGCTTAGGGCTTGGGTTTCCAAACCGAGGGTATTTCTGTTGCAGGTTTAGGGGGCTTAGACAGTAGCAACCTAGTTCACAAGGAAGACGACGGCGCTGAAGGCTTATTTGTCTTCGTTGCCAGAGATCTCTACAAGTATAGCACCCAAACGGCATAGAGTAGCTTGTCCTCGTTCATCGATGCAGGTAGCCGAGAGAATACACGCCTTGGAGACGGCTTGGTATCACCGCTCTTGGAGTGAATACACTACCCGATTTCCTGAGTAGCAATGTTTTGCGTCCGCGTCTCTCGTCTCTGGAGAACGAGCCCTATCGATGTTAGCTCGACTCCTGGCGATGGAGTCGCCAGTAAATGGAGCTACGCCTCCTTTCCCCCACTTTTCTTTGACCCAGACACACGATCCAGCAGGAAAGCCACCCCTCCGACGACCATGACATAGGCTCCCACCACTGTGAGAGCGACCGTGTCACTCGCCGCCATGGTATCCATCGTGACATTGACGAGGCCTGTCAAGAGATTCGCCACCACAAAGACAACAAAGCCGTTCCGATTGATAGCAGCCATCATGGGGAGCGGGTGCTGGGGCGCCACAAAGAGAATGGCTTCGATAATGGAGAGGTTGACGACGAGGATCCAGACACAAAAGGTTGCATTCGTGGTCCGACGAGAAACGACGGAACCCCATTGGACCAGCGCCGTCCACCCCAGGATAGAAACCAGAGAGGCTAAACCTCGTGGTATCGGGCTCTTCCTCCACAAGATGAGGGATCCTAACCATTCACTCACGAGAAAAAGAGAAACGTAGCCGACGCACCCGAGAATGCCTTCTCGGTTGGCCACAAACAAATCGCACAGCAGGCTCCCACCATTGTCACAAGAACGGGGTGCTTCCATGACCCACGTTTGCAGATTGTACATGTCTAGGAGAACGACCTGATAGACAGTCATGAGGAGAATGGGCACCCATCCGGTCGGACCGGGTAGGCAAAAGGACAGGACTGGAACGACCGCGAGGGTGTAGAAAAAGTTCCAATGCACTCCATACTCTGAGACGTGCTCTTGGTATTCGAGATTCTTGTGCGTCACGAGACGGATGGATCCCATCACCAGGAGTGGAAGTGTGCGTCGGAGGGAAAGACTTGCACGTCGTCCCTTGGCACGTGGCGAGACGAGTCCGGCCGCCACGATACACGAAGCCGCACCCAGATCCATAAGGCTGTATCCTTGCTCTTCTGTTTTGGCAAAGCGACGCGGAAAGACGTGAAAGTCGCAAGCGAGAATTGCGACAAAGGTCAAGACCAGGATCCCCGATCGATAGACTGTCAATGGCAAGTGAGGATCGGCAACTCCCCGGGTTTTCCTTTTGCTTGTTCCTCTCAAAATTAAAGCAAGAACGAGCTCAAGGGCAAGATAGGCAGCACCATAGGGATACAACAGGTTGCTTTCGCAGATGACTATCGGGATAACCAACGTCCCGACCTCTTCGACTACCCGTCGCCGAGGAAGATTCTGGTAGAGAAATAAACCAATTGGGAGAGCACTGCATATCAGAAGCAACTCGAACGGATGCGTCCCTTGCAGGCCAGAAACAAAGGCTTCTTTGGCCTCGCGTTGAGCCACCATGGTGCTGTGTCGAGAGATGGAGATTTTTTGAGGGGAAGCTACAAAGGGTGGTGACATGTAGGGATTGGGGGTTTAGGGTTGAGGGCTTGGGGCTTTGGGCTTGGGGGTACTTCGGTGCATTTACGGTTCAGGACCCGAAAACCGAGGCACTCACGTGCTCGTTGAGGCCCCGGCCGTCTTCTGGAGGAGGTACTTGCGAGCCGTAACCTGGAGTTGGACTGCGGCTTTGGGGACTTCATTGTTGCGTTTAGGGTTCAGGGCTCAGGGCCTCTACGAGCCTAGTAGGGAACCCGCCAAGCCCAGCTTGAGATCCATCAGCCCCTGCACGAGGTTGTCTGGGCGCCGTACAACGCTCGCCTGGGCCGCCCGCTCTGCGTGGTTGGCCTGCACACGACCCTCCAAAAACACCCCACAGCACCCGACTCAACCTGAGGCCGAAAGGTCTATAGCCCTAAAAACCTAACATGCGGGGGGGGGAGTTTTAGGGGGTGGGGTTGGGGATTCGCCTGCTCGAGGGTCTCCGAGAGTCCGTCAGACACGGACTCGCCGGCCCTGCCGATTCCTGTGGGCTGAAGGTCCGGGGTTTTAGGGATCATGCAGTCCTGAAGGTCTTGCAATGTTTCGGGCTTGGAATTCGGGAGGCTAGTGCGAGGGTTTTGTGGCTTGGGGATGCAGGGTTGAAGCTTGTAGGGGGTGCTGGAGTTCAAGACAGGTTTGACGGTGTGCTCCGCGCGTGCGTTGGTCGATGAAAGGGTTAGGGTTTCGGGATTCCCTACAGATGATGAATCAGAAGATTTGTCATTGCTTGACTCTTCTTGTGGCCATGGTTTTCTCGTTGCTCGTTAGCGACCGACTATCCTCGTCAGGGTGGGGCGTTGAGCTAAACTATGGGCCGTTTTTAGGGGATCCCCGCATAACCCCCCAAATCCCGCTCAGGGTCTCTTCACCCTCACCTAGGGTCCTTGTGGCCCCCTACTGCTCCCTGGAGGTGATGGCGCCCCCCCCTGGCCCTACACCCTATGCGGAGCTGCAATTGGTATTGTAGAAAGGAGTTGGTATTGGAAGTTGAAGGGTCAATGAACCCGGTAATCTTTGGCTCAAGCCATGACCAAAGCGGTCAAAGGTTTCGTAAAAAGTGTGCCCTTGGTTTGGGGTCTTGTTGTTCGGTTGTTGGTTGTTCCAGGGGTACTAAGGGCTTCTGTTGGGGTTGACTGTTTTGTTCCTTGTCCTCCTTCGGTTGCCCCCCGTAGGTTATGAGCCCAAATTAGGCTTCCTGCGGAATTGGTAAAGATTTTTCGTTTGTTTAACGCCATGGACATGATGCGGCGTCGCTCTGAGCCTGGACTGTCGCCAACGGCCAATGAAGCCGAAGGAAATCGTGGTGATGGGGGTGAAGATCGACAACAAATGGTACAAGCGCTGACAGATGGTAGGGAGGTTGCAATGATACAGCCAACGCCTCAGGTGGAAAACGAAGTGGTTCCGGTTCAAGCTGCAAATCCTTTCTGGAGCGAGCGGGCTCAAGAAGAAATGAGACTTAGGCAATCAAGGCCGGCAAGTCTTCCCGCGAGCGGAGGGGATAGGAGTGGTGAAGGTACGAGGAGACCGCCTTCGCTGCAAGACCTTTTGGGTCAGGAACCTGCACCTGTTGAGAGACCATCGTCAGGCTTAATGGGACAAATGGAACGAGGTACTATTGGTGGAGTGCAAGCCGACGAAGAACTCATTCCTGATGTTAGTGGTGAAGAGCAATCTGAAGATATGGCGGTGGTGAAGCGTGCGCTGAAAGAGTTGCTTGTGCAGACAAAGGAGCTGGGGAACAGGTTGCATCGGGTGGAGGAAAAAAGCTATACCTCTGCTGCATCTGGGTCAGCTTCAAGGGCACGGAGCTCTGGAGTGGTGGACGCAAACACGGCATATCCTCTAGGAATGACTCCAGAGAAGCAGTACCTGCCAGGACAAGTTTTCTACACGGATGGTATGGGTGGTTTTTGGACTGTGTTGCCTGATGGGACATGGCTGCCTATTGAGGGCTACGACCTGCCAAAGGGTTGTGATCTTCAATCCTTGCCTGGGTCCAGGAAGGGGGATGTTCAAGTGGAGGATGAAAAAGAAGTGCCAATGATGCATGTAGCTGAAGGGAAGAAACCCTCCAGATTGCCTCCATTGAATTACCCCACGGGAGGTCTTGCAAGTGGTGGATATGCAAGTGGACCACCTGGTTTAACACATGTTCCGATTACTTCCGTGCCATCAGGTGTTGATGGTTCTGTCGCACCTGCGGGGAACCAGCCCGGTTTTGTTTCAGCTCGGGAAACTGCAACGCAAGAGAACTCAGCAGGATCGGGTGGATATACAATGGTGGATGATGTTCCGTATCGGTGGAAAATGGTCGCTGGGAAGTTGGAATTAGAAAAGGTTCCGCTCACAGCTGTTACGCCCGGTATAGGACATGGACTACCTCAAGGGCCTGGTGGAAGGGTCAGTTTACCTCCTGGAGCAGTGGTGCCACGCGGTATGCCAATCACTGGTGATAGTTCTGGAACCGAACGTCCGGAGGCTCTCGGGAAGCATGTGATGAGCCTTCCAACTTTGGCAGACTACACACCAAGCAATCCGACGGCACTGGGTGATTGGATCGCAATGATCGAACCAATGTTGTCTTCGCTGACAGATACAGGAAGAGTGTGGTGGCAATGCGTCTACTCAAAGGCATATCAAGCGTATGCCAAATGGTTGAGTGTTTCTCCACTGGAAAGGTTGGGCATCAAGGCTGAGCTAGAAGGGCTCAAGGTGGTTCAAACTGTGCATGTTTTGTTGGAGCAGAGAGCGGTGTCTTTGCTGCTACAGGCGATTCCGGAGAGATTGAAGACCGAGATCGTTTCCACTCGAATGTTGGGGTCGGTGATGATATTTTACAAATTGCTGACGGTCTACCAACCAGGTGGAGCAAATGAGCGCAGCACAATGTTGAACTTCTTGGTGCAACCATCTTCAGCAACCTCGATTTCAGAGGCTATTAAGGGAGTGCGACAATGGGCGCAACGGCGTTCCCGATTAAGGGAGCTGCGAGCATCCGAGCCGGACGCTACCTTGCTAATCAAGGGATTGGATGCTTTATCATCCGCGTTGCTGGCAAAACACCCTACGGTGCATTTCAGAGTGGCATCCTTTCGGGAGAAATTGGGGGTGGACTACTCGCCGACCTCTGAAACTGCGACACAACTAGCTGAAATGTTACAGGCAGAGTTTGAACTGCTATTGCATAGTGCTGGTGAACAAGAGGTGAAGCAGGACTCGGACGCCAAGAAAAGGGCCAGGTTAAACAAGGCCCAAAAGGGAACTGGTGACGAGACAGAGGAGGGTGACAAAGGCAAAGGGAAAGGAAAAAGGTACAGTGGAGATGGTGAACGTCCTTTCTGTTGGATATATGGGAAGACCGATGCAGGTTGCAAGTTCGGATCCCGCTGCAAATTTCGCCATGACAAAGACTCCCTTGGCGTGGAAGATGTTTTGAGTGTGGGGCCGTTGGCCATCTCCAGCCGCAATGTCCATATAAGGATGGTGCAAGTTCCAATGTGGACTCAAACCCTGAGAGAAGCAGATCTAAAGGGAATTCTCCCAAAGGGGGAAAGGGCGGCAAAGGTGCGAAATGGGGAAATGCCAAAAAGGCAGAGGTAGCTGAAGGGGGAGATGAGACGGCTAATGCGGGATTGGATAAAGGTTCTGCAAGTCCCTCATCACCATCAACACCCAATCAAGTCCTTGCTGAAGCGTTGGAAGTGCTGAAATCTATGAAGCTGTCATCAGCGCAGTCAGCATCGAGCGGGGATCCCAGTGTTCGAATGTTATGTGGATCTGGATTGTTTCAGCAGGAAGGGAGAGTGGCGTTGGTGGATACAGCTGCTACGCATCTTGCGCGGACGCTTTTTCCATGGGAATGTTTACCCGACACTACTGTTATGGTGCAAAGCGCGCTTGGTGGTGTGGCAATGAGGATTACAGAGAAAGGGACGTTGATTAGGGAAGACAATGGGCCCCTGATTATCCCTCTCTGGTTGATTTTGGAGTTTGGGGCGAACCTCACTGTGATCAATGGGATGTGTCACGTGGGTGCAAAATCTTCGCTGGACCAGCTCTTGTGGTTTGAACATGGCTGTTTGGTTATGGATTACAAAACAGCTGAAAAAATGGTTTTGCATGCTGAAAGGCAGCGTGTGTCTTGGTCCCATTCTCAATGGAGGAATGGAAGGGCGGACTGTGGAGTCGGTTCGTCGGATGCCACGTTGTTGCCGAAGCAGGGAGAAGGCCGAGGAGTATGCGTTCTACATGTGGCCAGGGTTTCTGACACCAATGAGTGTTCGGGAATGGGCATGTTGGACTCGGGAGCATCACATCCTCTCAGATCACTTCGTCCTGGAGAACAGCTTCCGCAGCAAAAGGTGTTGGTGTCTTTAGCTGTTGGATCTCGGGAGATGTGTATTACCCCAGGTGGGACCCTGGTAACTCCTGAAATGGTAGATCCACTAGTGCCAATTGGCAAAGCGAGCGCCTTGGTTGGTCTCAGAGTTCAGTGGCGTGGTGGCAAGTGCACAGCCTCACATCCTGTTCTGGGGGAACTTCGCGTTCGTGATCTGAATGGGTGCCCTTGTTTGGAAAAAGAGGTGGCGCTTCAGATTATTGATGAAATGGATTGGTGCTCACCAAAGCAACCTTTGAAGGTGGCACGTATGGTTCAAGGATGTCCGAATACGGACAACGAGGTGGCTGTAAAAACGTCGTTGCAAAGCGCAGCGCGGACAGCGTCAGCGAATGAGGAGGAGTTCGTCCAGGCATGCTGGAGATTTCTTCGGTGGTATTATGGGGATATACCAGAAAATATGCTGATGGAGCTGTTGCCACGTGGAGATATTGCGGCGTTGCCTTTCAACCGTCATAAAAGGAGACGGATGGCACGAGCAAAAAGGGTGGCGGTACACCTATTTTCAGGAAAACAAAAATGGCATTTTCCCAGTCGGGATGTGGAGGTACTGGAGCTGGATTTGACAAAAGGTGGTGACCTACATAATTCGAGCGTCTGGAAGTATCTTCTGCATCTGGCGGCTGAAGGAAAGGTGGTTGCTGTGGTTGGAGGCCCTCCACGCAGGACAGTGTCAAGGTTGAGAGGTGAAGACGGTGGTCCACCTGTATTACGCCGACGCTGTGGGCCTGAACGGTTGGGGTTAAAAAGTCTTCCTTGGCCACATCAAGAATTAGCTCAAAGGATGGTGTTTTACTTCTGAAGATGCTTTTCCTATATGACGTGGCGGTGCATTCAAGGTGTGGAACTGCTGAAGTCATCAATGGAAGTTCTGTCTTCTTTGGCATGGAAAGCCCTGGGGACCCTGAACTCATAGGGAAAGATTTCTCTCAGAACGGCAAAACGGTCTTGAGTGCTGAGGATCTGGTGGATGGTTCTCAGGAAGGGCTCTCAAGTCCTACCTTCTGGAGTTGGCCAGAGGTGAAAAGCTTTTGTGAGCGTTATGGAATGTACGCTGCACATTTTGATCAAGGAGCATTGGGACATGCTCTGGTGAAACCTACGACTTTCCTGGTGTCTGATATGGAACTATGGGAATCGTTGGAACAGGTTCGCGTGGTTGTTCCGTGGTCAGCAACATTCGCTTCTACCCTGGAAGAGCGTATTGGACAATCCTCCGTGTGGGCGCGATGGGCGTTTGGATTGGTTAAAAGAATACGTCACAGGTTGGCACAATGGTTGCATGAGAGCGATGCTGAACGGGAAGCTATGGTGTTAAAAAAAGAAGAACAAGAAGGAACGTTGC